CACAAAGTGACGGCCCTGGAGGTGCGCGGCGGCGGCGCGTGGGCACCGGAAGTGCCGCCGGCCAGCCCCGCCCCGCGCGCGCCCACGGGGGGCACTTCCGGTTACGCGGGCCACCGGCACAGAGTCTCGGAGCGCGCGGAGGCTGCACAGCTGGGGAGGAGTGCAAGGGTGTGCGGCCGAGACTACAACGTCCAGAACTATCGTGGGCCCTTCACTGCCCAGCCCAGGACGCCGACGTCCCCGCCCGCCGTGGAGGTTCCGGGCAGCCCCCGGAGGTGCCAGGAGTTCCCGCCACTCTAACCACCGCCTCCTCCGAACTCAGTAGTGATTCAGGGGGGCGCCTGCGGGCGCCTGTCCCCGGAACCATCCTGGATCCCAAGACAGTGGAGGGAGGCGATGACCCCCTTCATGGGCTGGAGGGGCAGCCATAGCTGTAGAGTGGGGGCCGGACCAGGAGTGGGCTGCGTGCTCTAGCTCCGTGGGCCCGTGCGGGGCCAAGGTCGAGTGGACGTCCTGGGGTGGGCAGGGCAGGTGGTCAAGGAGTAAGGGGGCCTGGGGCTGCAGAGGCCACGCTTGGAAGGAAGGCGTTCCCAAGCACTGGGAATAACCAGAGCCGAGGCAAAGTGGCTGGCGGTGGTCATAGGAGCTGTGGAAGAGTCGGTGGGCTCAGTGACCACCCGCATCCCTGCCCTGCAGGAGCCGGAGCTAGGGACTGGCGATGAATTCTGGGTCTTGCAGAATCTGGGCATTTTTTAGCCTGGAATGGTGAGTCTCGGGCTCCTTCCTCAGCCCCCACCCTCCCTGTGCTATTATTGTTAGTGCTTTTACAGGATGTCTCTCAGCCTTGAACCCTCAAGACAGGGCATCAGCATGACTGGGCTAGAGACAGAGGACTCCAACCTTTGTCCTGCAGAAAGGTACAGCCCCCTGCCTTTCCCGCCATGCCAGTGCCTGCCATTGTGAATTGGATTCCTTGCAATGATTGTATTTTGCCGTTGGTCTTTTCAAATATTTTATAGTTAATTGGGTTTGGTACCACACAAACTATGGAAGTCCAAAGCATGAGGATCACTTGAGGCCAGGAGTTTGAGACCAGCCTGCACACCAGAGCGAGACCCCACCTCTACAAAAAATATAAAACTTAGCGGGCGTAGTGGAACATACCTGTAGTCCCAGCTACTCAGGAGGCTGAAGCAGGAGGATCACTTGAGCCCAAGAGTTTGAGGTTGCAGTAAGCTGTGATGATGCCACTCTAGCCTGGGCAACAGAGCAAAACTCTGAAAAAAAAGGTTTTAGGCTGGATGTGGTGGCTCAAGCCTATATTTCCAGCACTGTGGGAAGCCAAGACAGGAGGATCATTTGAAGCCAACATGGTGAGAGCTCCCATCTCTTAAGAGAAAAAGAATCATTTAAAAATAAGTTTTAGGCCAGATGCAGTGGCTCACACCTATAATCCTAACACTCTGGGAGGCCTAGGCAGGTGGATTGCTTGAGCTGAGGAATGGGAGATCAGCCTGAGCAACAGCGAGACCCCATCTCTACTAAAAATAGAAAAAGCTAGCCAGGTGTAGTGGTACATGTCTGTAGTCCCAGCTACTCCACAGGCTGAGACAAGAGGCTTGCTCAAAGCCAAGAATTTGAGGTTGCTATGAGCTCTCATGCCCTCACACGATACCCAGGACAACAGAGTAAGACTTTGTCTCAAAAAAAAAAAAAGTTTTAAAGTTAGAAAGATTTAAAACTTGAGAGTCCCATTCTGGTAAAAAAAAAAAAAAAATGCCAGGCTCAGTGGCTCACTCCTGTAATCCCAGCACTTGGGAAGGCCAAGGTAGGTGGATTGCTTGAGCTTGAGTTTGAGACCAGCCTGAGCAAGAGCAAGATCCCGTCTCTAAAAATAGCCAGGCATCGTCATTCGCACCTGTAGTCCCAGCTACTGGGGAGACTAAGGCAAGCAGATCACTTGATCCCAAAAGTTTGAGGTTGCTGTGAGCTATGACAACATAGCACTCTAACCAGGGCAAAAGTGAGACTATCTCAAAAACAAAAAGTTGAAAAATCAGAAATTCTGGCAACACAGAGTCCCCTTAGGGGACCAGTGAATAGGGCCTAAGAAGTGACCACCCAAGTGGATGTGGATGAGACTGGGCTCTTTCACCTCAGTTCTCACCACTCCCCACTACCTTTCTCCAGGCTCTCCACGTGATACCACTTGTCTGGTCCTGTGGGTATCAAAGCTTTCAAGGCCTGGATCCCTGACTTAGACCCTTCCCCGCTGTACCTGACCTGGCAGGTTCAACAGGAAGCAACCTTTACCCCCAGGTGATTCCAATGAACAGCTCAACTATGAAATATTAACAATTAATCAAAACCAGTGTCGGCTTGTGCCTATAGCTCAGTGGCACATACACCAGAGCTAGCAAATTCAAACCCAGCCTGGACCTGCCAAACAACGACAATTACAACAAAAAAATAGCCAGGCGTTGTGGTAGGTGCCTGTAGTCCCAGCTATTTTGGAGGCTTGAGGCAAGAGAATCACTTAAGCCCAGGATTTGGAGGTGGCTGTGGTCTGTGACACCATGGCGCTCTACCAAGAGTAACATAGTGAGACTCTATTAAAAAAAGAAAAAAAAAGAACAGTGTCGCAGGAATGTGAGAGCCCTAAAGAGTGGCAGCCTCTGCCACCCTTAAACCTGAAACAGAGGAAAAGGTAAGATGTTGTCAAGCCTGGAGGGAGCTGAAAGTATAGAAATGGGGTGACCTGGTGGGAGCTGTAATTATGAAGGGACAGTGTGGTGGGAAGAGAATACCCTGACTCTGTCCTCCCATCCCATATCTCCCACCAGTACTGCCATGGGCCAGATAACCTGTCATGTGGGTAGCAGAGGAATCCAGGGGATGCTGTTCTTGGTCAGCCACTCCAGCCTAGGGCCAGGGAGAGAACAAACTGGGGTGGAGGGGCATATGACAGAATCAACAGTTCCATCCCTACCCTAGACCTTTCCACCAGTCAGGCAGGGACCTCAGCTACCCCACATCTTCTCCAATCTCCTCCTGGCCTGTCCCTACCTGATACCCAGTCCAAGACTTGATTTCTTGCCTACAGAGATTTTCTTTTTTTCTTTTTTTCTTGTTGTTTTCATCTAGAGACAGTCTCACTTTGTCATGCTCAGTAGAATGCTGTGGCATCACAGCTTGCAGCAAACTCTAGCTCTTGGGCTTAGGCTAGGGTGACCAGACGTCCCACTTTTTAACAATTTGTCCTGCATTCCGTGGTGTTTTTAAAAAGTCTGGATTTTTGGAAAGAATGCACGAACACGTGGGAGAACAGGAAGGGAATATATGGTTTACGGCTGCCATGTGGCTATTTTGCCAGAATATGAGTTTTATATTATTTTTGTTAATTTTATAATGTTAAACTGTAATAATAACAAATAATTGTTGAGAAGTGATTATTGAGAACTGCTTATCAAAGTTTGCATTGTTGTCAGGCCCTGCCCTGCCCCTTCCCCTGCCCCACCCCCCCCACCATGTTGTCCCACTTTACAAATGGTAAAATCTGGTCACCCTAGCTTAGGCAATTCTCTTGCCTCAGCCTCCCAAGTAGCTGGGACTACAGGCACCTGCCACAACGCCCAGCTATTTTTTTGTTGCAGTTTGGATGGGGCCGAGTTTGAACCTGCCACCCTCGGCATATGGGGCTGGCAGCGCCCTACCCACTGAGCCAGAGGCGCTACCCATCCTACAGAGATTTTCAAAGGCAGAGTCCACCAGACTCTCCCCACCCAGCAGGCTCCTGCCCTCCAAAGGGTCTCTTACTCCACCCCAAGTCCCACTGAGCTGATGCCCTTCTCCAGGGTAGAGAGCCTTTGGCTCTTTTCTCTGAGGTTCACCTCTCATGAAAGGCAGGGTCCCCAGAACTCATCTAGTGCAGGACACAGAGTGGCGCAGCCAGACAAAGGCCCCACAGTCCTCTTGAGCTTAGCATGTCTCTGATCAAAATTAGGCTGGCAGCCCCCCTAGTTCCCCTGCTCTATCGCACACCTGTGACGGCAAGACCAAAGCATCCTCAGGGGACTACTCTCTATTCTGTGAGAATTAAACATAAGCCACCTGCTAGGAGACTTCATATCAATGCTTATTTTAAAGTTAGATAAATGAAAATCCTCTCTCTACTAACCCTCTCAACCCCTTCCATTTAGTTCTGCCTTCCACAGGCCCAGATGGGGTACTGGGTGTGGAGTTTGCCAATGGCCTCAGACTGGCTAGGCCTGGGCAGATAATCCTCCTCCAACCCATGGTCATCTTTGTGCCTACTGAGAGCAGTGTTGTCCTGTCCCACATGGGCTGTACAAGTCCTAAAGTCATTGGTCCTGAGCCTCTGGCCACCTGAGTCTGAAGCTGCCAGGATCAGGGCTAGCTGCCCCAAGTGCAGTAGGCAGGGAATCTGGGCACGACCATAGGGGTCTTCTTACTCCCCTCCCCTTTGTGCAGTGTCCTTGTGAAGCTTTTGTGTGGCAGCAGTGTTCCTAAAAGCACCCTGTGGACTACTGCTCAGGTATCATGAATCTCATAGTCCCAGAAAAGCCTGGCCATTGGCCCTCTTTGGCCACCACTTCCTGTAGGTCGTGCACAGGGTCTCTGCCTACTCAAAATCATACCTCTCCCTCCCTCTGAGACCTGTAAACTTATCCCTTTTCTCCTGGCTTGCACACACACACACACCCCCCCACATAAAT